AGGTATATCAACACGCTCGCTGCATACGTGTGCATGTGTGCGCGCGTGTGTAGTTATGTGTGTGTGTTGTTTAGTTGTTACGTGTTGCTACGTCTGTCTTCTGCGGTTGCGGGCAAAGACCTTTCCGTCTTCATTGCCTTGCTGTGCGTGTGCGTTTGCTGTGCATTAAGCGTGTGCTCAAACCGGCGCTGCCATTCGTTCTCCGCTTTCCCTCCGCTGCCTGCTTGCTTGCACGCACGGTTGTCTTCTTACTCGCGCTTGCTTGCTGTCAGTTCCGCGAGCGGGCCGACAGCATCCACCCCAAGATTGCCGCTGTGCACACGGCGTCAGAGGAGCTCATCACCAGCGAAGGCATCAAGCAGTTCTTGCAGATTGGGCTCGGTACGCGCTCCAGTGCACATATAGCATGCGAATGCGTGCATACGTGTGTGTGTGTGCGTGTGTGTGGTGCGTGTGTGCATGCGTGTGCGTGCGTGTGCGTATCACGTGGTCCTTCTTCGCAAACCTGGTTTCCGCACATGTCACTGCCTTGTCACTCATGCACCTGCCAACTGCGCCTTCCCGCCTGTCCCCACACAACAGCCGTCGGCAACTACATGAACAAAGGGGCACGTGCGAACGTGCACGGCTTCAAGCTCGACGGTCTGCTGAAGATTGCGGACACGCGGTCCGGTCGCAGGAAGGACTTCAACCTCCTCCATTACATTGTGGACCTCGTTGACTCCATGGTGAGAGGGAGATGCTGTCATGAGCCGGGTGTATGTTGGATGTGTTGGGCGTGCGTGTGTGGTGTGAAGCACGTGCAAGCAAACCAAGACATGTGTTCTTTTCGCATGTGCTGTGTGCTTGAAAGCTGCGTGCTTGAAGATCTGTCCTCTTGATCTTCTTTGACCCCTTCCCCTCCCTCTCTCCTTTCTCCTCTGTCTTCTTCTCACCACGGCCGCTGCCACACCATCACAGCCCATGCTGAAGCCGGCCCAGAATGTGGTGGCGGAGCTGCCGCACGTGCCTGAGGCGGCCAAGGTGAATCTTGTTGAGCTCAACAAGGAGATGGATGTCCTGAAGCGCGGCCTCAAGCTCATGCAGGCGGAACTCAAGTGGCACCAGAACAACGAGGTGTGTGTGTGTGTGTTGGCGCGCGTGCGTGTGTGTGTTGGTGTGTGTGTTGGTGTGTGTTGGTGTGCACGTACTTGCTTGTGTGTGTGTGTGTTTCTCTCTCTCTCTCTTTGTGCATGCACTTGTTGTTGTTTCGTCCTTTTCACGGCGAGTCCTGTCCAAGCGAAACGCCACTCTCACCGCTGCCTATTTCCTCCCCGCACGTGACGCGTTGTTTCACGACTCGCTCCACGCCAACAGAAACCACTGGAGGAAGACTGCTTTGTTGACATCATCGAGGACTATGAGGACCAGGTCCGAGAGGAGCTGCAGACAATGCAGAACAACTACAAGCAGATGGAGGAGGTGTGTTTTTCTTGCACAATGCTACTTGGGCTGAGTAATCCTCCTTTGCTCATACGCCAATGTGTGTCGGTTGAATCACTTTCGTCGACACCACACCATGTTGTGTTACGCGTCGCACATTTGCACGTCTCACATTGCAAGGTGTACTTCTTCACGCACCCTATCATCCTCATTGACATACACTTACCCTTGTCTGCCCCCGGACGCATTCACCCCAATGGATCTACGTTGTTGCGAACGGAATCAGGCGTTTAAGAAGACGGTTGAGTTCTTTGCTTACGAAGCCAAGAAACCAGAGCCGCACGAGTTCTTCTCCATCTTCTCAGGGTGCGATCGTTTGTGTATGTGTGCGTATGTTTGTTCACATGTGTGTGTGTGCGTGCGTGTGCGTGTGTTTGTTCACGTGTGTATGTGTCTCGCTATCTCTCTCGTTGTCCCTTTCTGTGACTTTGAGGCAACACCAACACTATCATGCAAGCCGTGCGCTGATGTCCCTCAACACGCTACGTGGGCGTGTGCACTGTACAGGTTCTTTGAGCAGCTTGAGACGGGACGACGGGAGCTGGCGGCGATCAAGAAGCGCGAGCGCGAGGAGAGGGAGCGGCGTGAGCAAGAAGAAGAAATGGTGAGCAGAGCAACCACACACTGATGCTCGCCACACCGCGCTTGTGCAATGGTGGTGCTGCAATGATTGTACCCATCCCGCATACGCACACGGATATGTGTATGTACGCAATTTACAACCACTCACACTGACACACGCACTGACACACACGCACTGACACACACGCACACACACACACACACACACACACACACACACACACACACACACACACACACACACACACACACACACACACACACACACACACACACACACACACACACACACACACAGGAGCGGGAGCGCAAGCGAAAGGAGGAGGCAGCGGCTGCGCGGCAGTCGGCGGGACGAACGAACACCGTCACTCGCTCCTCGAGCAGCAAAGACGACGTCGCAGAGAACGCAAACTTGGACGACCTCGTCAGCGTATTGACCACAGGCGATTTTTCTCAGGCCTTGAACTCACGTAGACGCGATAGAGGTGCGCGTGTGTACATGTGTGAATGCTTGCGTCACAACTGCAAACACGTGTGTGTGTGTGTGTGTGTATTGTCCTGTGAGGACGTATGCGAGCTTCGTGTGCACACGTGTCATTGCGAGCTTCGTGTGCACACGTGTCATTGCACAATTGTTTTCCAGCATATAGCCAGCGCACACAATTAATTGCTGTTGTGTTTCGTTTCATTTCTGCAGGCGGAGACAATCCGATTCGCCGCCCCCGCCGTCGGCGTCAGCCTTGAAGTGGAACACGTTTCCGTCCTTGTGTTGGCGACAATGCGTGTGTGCTCTTGGCATGCACGCTACAAAGAGACCGTGATTGTAACATGCTCCACACATACATACGCCCAACTACCCTTCTTCCCAACGTGTTTGTTGACTTTCCGTACTCCGGTCTCCCGTGGCGGCGCACACAGTCTTGCCGTGCTTACGTTGCGTTTACATTAGAACTTGCTTTGTTGACCTTCCCATTCCTCCCATCTTGTATCCAATTGCGCGTTGTAGCGCGTTGTGTTGTCGGCTTGGCACACTTTTCCAGCCAACCATCTCCTTATTTGCCCCATCCCCCATGTTATCTTGCTGCACTGGGCTGCTTTGCATCTGTGTGCTGCTTCTTCCCTTGTCTTGGTGCTGTTGCGGTATCACCCTCGCTCACAGACGCAAGGGAACAAGCAACAAATACACCCTACGCGCGCTTACGCTTGCTTCATGCTGTTGCTGTATTGGTGGTGATGTGCTGTTCATCGTTGCAACGAACTGAATACGCACAGGGGTTGGTGGGCATGCGTGTCATGGTGTAACCACACAAGAATTGACGTGAATGCAAGCACAAACAAAAGCACGCACGCGCGCATATCAGAAGCACACAGGACAGACAAGTTACATATGCAGCCATTATGGATGGTCCTTGGGTATGTACAGTCGGTGGAGTTGGACAAGGCACGCACCTCATGAATCAAGGAGCGCAAAGAATACAGAATGAGCGCTGTTGACAAGCAAAAACGAAAAGGCACGTCTGAAAAATCAAATGGTTGTTGTTGTTGTTGTTGTTGTTGTTGTTGTTGTTGTTGTTGTTGTTGTTGTTGTTGTTGTTGTTGGTGTCAGCTAGACCTTGCCAAACTCAAACCAGTTCCCGGCATCTCTCGTTTTCCTGAGTAGAAAGAGCAAACACAATCAGCGTCAGAGCAGCGACTGGCAAGGCAGGCATAGATGTTGGAGAAGACGCATTTGCGTGTATGTGGGTGTGTGTTCGTACACGTGTGCGTGTGTGCTTTTGTGTGTGTGTGTGTGTGTGTGTGTGTGTGTGTGTCTGTGTGTGCTTGTGTGTGAGGGTGATGTGCACCACTCACGATCGAGATCTGCTGGGGCCGTGTGGATGAGAGGAGCTCGAGCGACGGCGGTCGCCTACCAACACCGAATGGACACACACACACACACACACACACACACACACACACACGCACACAGATATGCAGTGTGCAGTGAGTTGCTGTTCACCGTCGAGGACGAGAGAAGTTCGCAAGTACGAGAGACGTTCGCGAGCACACGATACAAGGGCAGGTGCCGGACCTTTGTCTGAGGGCATCAAGGTGGAGTGGGACGAGTTTGAGGAGCGCAGAAGCGATGATGGTCCAATGGACTGGCGGCGTCCACTTTCGTCGTTCCTGCACTCACTCAAACACACACACACACACACACACGCACGCACACACACACATACACATACAAATACACACACACATGCAGCTTTGGGTCAGAGGATCGTCATGTGAACAGGCCAAGTAAGCAGTTTATCATGACTGGTCTCTTTGTGCAAAAACTGGGAGACATACCGGTTTCGCTGCTTGGAGTTATGGAGGGAAGGCAGTGATTTGGAAAGGAGCGTTTGACAGGGAGATGTGGATGAGCAAATGGCGACGGGGTGCGCAGAGCAGACTCACAGGGCAGAGATGTTTACACATACGCAAACAAACAAACAAACAAACAAACAAACAAACAAACAAACAAACAAACAAACAAACAAACAAACAAACAAACAAACAAACAAACAAACAAACAAACAACAAACAAACAAACAAACAAACAAACAAACAAACAAACAAACAACAAACAAACAAACAAACACACGTAGACATATGCAGTGACAATGTCCGTGCAAACCTGTGTGGACGAAGGATCCAGCACGGACGCTGCGGTAGACGAGAGCGAGCGTGTGTAGAGCCCACGTGGAGAACTGGACGCCCGCAATTCGTCCGCAGCGGAGGTTGACATGTGCAGTCCCCGCTTGTGCTTAATCTGGCAGAACACGATGCGTGGCACCAACCGAAGCGAAGTGAGGTGTGCATGACATTCCCACAATTCGCGCAGAAACACACACACACGCACACACACACGCGCGCGCGCGCACGCAGACACCAGTAAAGCACGCGCCAGCTCAACTCAAACACGAGACACTCAGTACAACCACCACCACATCGACAAGACAGCGCTGTCCCCACCTGCACGCCGCGTCGGGAGGCGCCGCTGATTGAAGAGCGCCACGTGCGCGAGAACGGCACTTCGCCCTCCAGCGCTGCACCAGACGCAGATGATGACAGCTTGCTAGCGCCGCTACCACCACCGCCGCCGGCACTGACACCGCTGCCACGCGAGGAGGATGGTGTCTTCTTGCGGCGAGAGCGCGATGGCGTGTGTTCGTCCGCTTCGCCGCCATCACCACGGCCGGCGTCGCTGCTGCGAGACGCGTGCGTGTGTCTTCGTCGGTCCCCGCGATCACGGCTGCGGTGTGACGGTGACTTGCGCGTGCGCTCTCCACTGCGATGGCGCTGCCTGCGTCCGTCACCATCCGTCGGCTTTGCGCCCGTGTACGCGCGGCTGCGGCCTTTCCCCATCGGGAAGGTGGCGTCCAGGGCCGGTGCGCCGGAAAACGACGCCGACAGCGCCGAGGACGATGGCGTCATCACGGACGTGTGTGTCACATCGTCCATGCCAACTTCGGGTGCAGTGGACGGACGATCCGCGCCAATGAACACGTCCAGCGCTGTCCTTGCGCGTGTTCGGAAGCTGCTGTTTGACCCAATGCTCTGGTTAAGGGCGCTTCCACTCGTCGCCATATGCTGCTGGTGGTGGCCATTGGACATGGCCGGGAGCTCCCCTTGCGGCTGCTGTTGTGGCTGTGGTTGTGATTCTTGTGGTTGTGGTTGTTGAAACACCTCCTGTACGTCTTGCGCGTGCAGCTCCTCTTGTTGTTGCAGCTGCGCTTGTTCCTGTAGGAATTCGTTTACCGTCTGCACATCGCTCGAGTCCCGACTGTGCGTTTGATGGTGCGCGCGACCAGCGTCACTGCGGTGCATCGTGTCAGCGCGCGCGCGTGTTTTTGCTGCCCCCGCCACATCCTCCATGCTGTGTTTGTACAGCTCCGGGTCCGAGGTTGAGATGTCGCCGCTGTCTGCGATGGAGGAGCGCTTTGCAATCATCACCGGCGACGCGTTGGCCGTGGACGACCCGCTCTCGTCCCCGCCGCTGCAGACGGACGGACGGACGGACGGACGGAGGAGGAGGAGGAGGAAAGTGAAGGGAAGGAGGCGAGGGAGTCGTAGTTGGGGATGGAGAGGTGGAAAGAAAAGCAAAAAGAAGGAAAGGGGGGGGGAGATGTTGCGAACAGGAAACGTGAACGAGTTAAGGAGTGAGTGAGTGAGTGAGTGAGGGTACAAATGAAGGAAGCAAGAACACAAGACAAGGCAGACAGTTATAGACATTGCAGCGAAGGCACTCCATCGTCAGCATGCGACAAAATGTACTTGTGGAGATCAGGGGAGCGCGTCGATGGGGCTGGATCTGGTGTGGTTGAACCGCCACTCTTGCCCTGCAAACACAGCCAGCGCAGTGAGTGCAGTGCATACAGACATTGTGGAAACAACGCACGTCACGTGCGCCTCTCAAATAGAAAGAAGCAAGCTGCGCACGTGCAAGCACAACCAAACAAAGCAAGCAAGGCACAAACAAACAAACAGAACAACAAAACAAACAAACAAACAAACAAACAAAAACAAACAAACAAACAAACAGAACAGAACAGAACAGAACAGAACAGCAAAACAAACGCACAGGCCACCTTCTTTTTGAAGAATCGAAAGAGCTTCTTCTTGCTTCGGGCCTGTTCCAGTTCATCCGTCAACGCCTCGCGCTCCTTTGTCCAGTTGTGCACCTGCTGTCGCAACTCTTCCTCCTTGTCCTTCAGCTGCGTGGTGCTCTGCAGTGACTTCACAAGCAGGTCTTGGTTTTGCTTCAGCAAGCTGTTAAGTTTCTCCACGTATGACGCGTTCTCTGCCTCCAAACTGGCCTTGATCTTCGTCAGCAGCTTCACTTTGTCCTGCTGCTTCAACTCCGCCGCGCGATGCTTGTGTGCTTCCCGCTCTGTGCGTGTGTGTGTGCGTGTGTGTTGGCGGGGGGGGGGAGGTCGGGTGAGTGTGTACGTGGGTGAATGAATGGATGTCCAATTTCGAATGCGCTTGCGTGAGCGTTGGGATTTGACGTTCGCCTCACAAGCAAGGTCACACGTGACCGGAACGGCAGCTGTCCATCACGTACCGAGTGTGCGCGCCTGTCGTCGCAACTTGTCGCATTCGCTCACAAGCATCTCATTCTGCAGCAAACAGCACCCAACAAGAGTACATTTGCGTGAGCGTGGATGATCAGAAAGGGCATCAAGCGAAGCATGGTAGTCTACACACACACACACAGACATACACACACGCACACACACACGCACGCACACACACCGCACACTACAGGTCGCCTAATCAACAGACCCTGCTCACCATGTTGCTGATGTTGTCTAGTTTCTCGCGAAGACCAACAACCTCGTTCCTGTCATTGAGGAAACGCGTGGGCACAAGTGATGTGACATGTGATGGCACGCGTGTCGTGCGAGTGTGAGTCATGACGCGTTCATTCCACAAATTCCCATCATGAACAAAGAAGACGCGAGCGCGCCAAACACACATAAACACATACATGCACACGCACACACACATACACACACAGACACACGCGCGCACACAGAGGCACACACGTGTCTGATGATGTTGCGCGTGCTGCCTCGAGGGACTGCTTGAGCATGCTGTTCTCGCTCTTCAGTGCACTCAGTTCTGCTTGCAACAGCGACACGGCCGACACAGGTGACGACTGCTCGCTTGCGCCATCCTGCAGTGGTGGTTGAGATCGGGAGGTGGAGATGTTGCGTGCAGTGCGATGAAGACAGGTGGTGAGCGTGCATGTAGTGGCGAGGAACATCAACACGGCGCAACGCAACAGCAACGTGAGATGAACCGATTTGTGCGGATTATTCAGCACACGCACACGAAGATTGAACAACAACAAACAACAACAACAACAGCAACAACAAACAACAAGGACAAGTGGCGCGTACGAATGCGAATTGGGAGGAAGATTTGGTGGCGCGGTCTGTCTGCGAGACGAGGGGACTGCCGGTTGCGCTTGAGAGCTTGCTGGATGACGGGGCACGACGCGTGGCGAGCGGCGAGCTGTCTCGTCGGCTGGCAGCAGAGCGCAACAGCTCAATGTGCCGCTTCGCAAGCGCCATGTCCTGCACCATCGTGGCGAGGGGCGGTGGTGGGCACACGAGAGCATGTGGTATCAGCCGTGGTGGTTCACAACGACGACGACGACGACGAGGAGGAGGAGGAGGAGGAGGAGGAGGAGGAGGAGGAGGACGAGGAGGAGGACGAGAAAGAGGAGGTGAAGAAGAACGAGGAGGAGGAGGAGGAGGAGGAGGAGGAGGAGGAGGAGGAGGAGGAGGAGGAGGAGGAGGAGGAGGAGGAGGAGGAGAAAGAAGAAGAGAAGGAATGTACGCGCACACACACGCAGACACACGCAGTAGGGCGTGCGCACCTGCTTGAGCTGTTCGTTGTGTTCTGTTGCCTCCTTGAGCCGCGCCTCCAGCGTCTTGATGCGCCCGTCCTTAAGTCGAACACCGCGCTCAAACACATCCCCTGTCACCACGTGTTCGCATTGAGGGGGGGGGGGGCGTGGTGGCATGCGCAATGAGCAATGTGCATGCAGGTGAGCGGGATTGCGCGCATATGCGTGTGTATGAAGCACGAACGTATGAATGTCTTCTTGTGGGCGGGTGGTGCCTGCGGTTTGCTTCGTCGCAATGCACTGTGCAGTAGTTGTCTCCACCACCACCACTACCACCATTGTCACCATCGTCATCGTTGTGCGTACCAAGCTTCTTCTCGATGCTGAGCGGGGAGGCAGAGGCCGCGTTCGACTTGAGTGACGCCACCTGCTCCTGCAATGACGTCACCGTTTCCTGGGCCTGCGAGCACGTGGGGACAGCGAAACACAACGGAGGGTTTGTGTGTGTGTGTGTGTGCGTGTGTGTGTGTGTGCAGTTGAAATGCGTGGGCGTGGGCGTGTAAGCGAGCGAATGCGGTAGCAGGGCAGCACGAGCGGGCGAAGCAGCAACAAACATGATGGGCACAGGTGGCGGTGAGCACCTTGGCCAGCTGTTCCGTTTGCTCTTTGACGCGGAGCCGCAGCTCCTCATTCTGCTGTTCACTCGATGTCTGGTGCGTTCACAGCGAGATCGAGGGAGAGAAGGAGAGGCACACACACGCGCACACACGCACACGCACACACATGCACGCACACACACACACACACACACACACGCACGCACGCACACACACACACACAAATACAGGCAAGCACACATGCGTAGACACATGTCGCGGGTGTGAACGTAGAGGGGAGCGTAAATCAAGGCTGGGCGTTGCATCGGGCGCCCGAGAAACATGTCCACACGTCTGAAATCGTGTGCAACGTCAAAACTCATGTCAAGTCGCGCACGTCTCATTTGTACTCACCAGCTCGGCGGTAAGTTTGCTGATCTCGCGTTGCTGGCGCTCGCGCTCCTCTGTCAACACCAAGAGGCAGATTGAAAGAGAGGTGGTGGTGTGTGTGTGTGTGTGTGCGTGCGTGCGCGCGTGGGTGTTTGTATGTGAGTGTGTGTGTGTGCGTGAGGTATGTCCAAAGTCACGCATCTCGTACCAGCAGAAAGATGAATGAACAACAGACAGACAGATAGATACACACACACACAGGCGCACACAATGCGCACCCTTGAGAGCATCCGTGTCTGCCTCCTCCGTGGATGTGGATGTGTGCAGCCGCTTCAGCTGCGCAGTCAGCTTCTCGTTCTCGTCCTCCAGTTTGCGCACGCGGTTGCTCTCCGTCGCATCAGACGGTGATGGTGACGACGACGACGACACCGCCACCCCGCCCTCCTCCGCTGCGCCGTGCACGATCGCATGAGGTGTGTGCGGGGTGTGAGGGGTGCGACGGTGGTAGTTGGGTGGGCGCACGTGTGGTAGCGAGTGCGTACGTGTACACGCGTCGTGGTAGGAGCACATATGCGTGGAAGACATCAAGAGTACGTGTATTTCCTCTACACATGTACTCACGCTTCGAAGATGCTGTTGTTTCTAGCCTTGCAACCTTGCTTTTCAGGTGCTTGTTTTCCTCCTCCAGCCTGCGTTTGCACCACAAACACGTCACTGGTGTGAAACTGTGCTGATGCAGCACACTCACCCGCAACAGCAAAACAAGCACAAGCACAATTGTGTAACAACAACACAGCTGCCCACGCACGTGTGCAGCCACACATACCCACCTGACGGATTGAGAGGTGATTTCACGAATGCGCTTCAAGTGCCTGTCCTGCGTGTGTGTCAACTCCTTAATTTGCGCCTCCAACATGCGGTTTTCGCTCTCCCGCGACGCTGAAGACAACAACAAGCGCGCGCCACACAACAGGGCATGGCAGTGTGCAGTTGAGAACAAAAGCGAAGACATGGGGTGGGGGGAACGGCAGGTGTGTGGTTTGCAAAACCACTCAAAGGCACGAAATAACCACAATGCGAAGCGCGCACAAGTGCGTGTGTGCGTGCATGTGCACGTGTGTATGTATATGCACCTGAGATGCGCTGTGTTTCCTCTGCGTTGTGCAGGGCGCCGCGAAGTCGCTCGTTTCGCTCAATCGAGAGATTCAATTGCTCTTGCAGGTCCTGTTGCCATTGGAGAGTCCACACGTCGGGTTGATAGAATTGTGGTGGTGGTGTTGCCAGAGACATGAGATGTGCGGCGCTCGAAAAGGAAGGTGACAGGCACATCAGCAACAATTCGTTCACGCACATCAACAACTGGACACACACACGCACACATGCGCGCGCACATACACGCAGGCAGACCTCGATGCGTCGCAGCAAGTATTCTTGATCCTCCAACTTTTCCTTGCATCTGGACAACAAAACGGCGTCAGGACCGTGAGAAAGAGGAAGAGTAGTTTGAGATGCAGTGCTCATGGCACAACGCCAGGCATAATCCATCAGTCACGCAGCACAGAGCCAGGCGCGTGGGATGAGAAATGCACCACCAATCACCACCAATCATCAATCACCGCCAACGAATCACCAGTACGATCATTTACCATGACACATCACAACGGCCCATCACCGCCGCCATCTGTGTCTGACTTTGTGAGCTCGCGCTGCGTTTTCTCGGTGTCGATTCCCTTCTGCCGCCACTCGTCGAGCTCGTCCTTCAACATCTGTGTGTCCTCCACCAGCACATACAGCTCGCGCACCTGTAATGCAATGGCAAGAGGAGGGGAAGGAGAAAGGGGGTAGGTGAGTGAGTGGGTAAGTGAGGGAGGGGGTGCGTGAGGGAAGGGGTGAGTGCGTATGTCTAAGTGTGTATGCGTTGTTCACACCAATCTTCATCGGCAAGTCAAAAACAAAACACAACCACAAGTCCATCATCATCATCATCATCATCATCATCATCATCATCATCATCATCATCATCATCATCATCATCATCATCATCATCATCATCATCATCATCATCATCATCATCATCATCATCATCATCATCATCATGGCGAACCTTTGATGTGAGCTCGTTGTTCTCTGATCGTAACTTCCGGTTTGCGTCTGTCACATCGCGCTGCATGCGGTCCTTGTCCTCACTGGCAACGAACCACGACGAAAGAAACGTGACATGACGACGACAACAGCGTCAAATGACGACGATGAATCGATGTGAGTGGTGCAGATGAGGGAGTGCGTGAACACACGGGGGAACGAGGTGCAGTGGAATGCGGGACCGCGATAGCCGTGCGCACGTGTGCAAGTGTGCATGTGGCTGTGCACGTGCGTGACGGCCGTCGTTATCAACATGCATAGATGTGCGTGCACTTACAGTTCGTCGCGTAGCAGCTGCATGCGGTACTCAAGATCTCGCACACTGCCCACACTCGTGTCGGATGTGCGGTGCCGGCTGACGAAGTCCATGGGTGAGCAAATGTGTTAGAGTGTGTGTGTTTGTGTATGTGTGCGTGTATGTGTGTTAGTGTGTGTGTGTTAGTGTGTGTGTGTGTGTGAATGTGCGCGCGTGTGCAGTTTCAGCATGTCACCGCATCCGTTGCGCGTGCATATGTGTGTACCTTGAACCGCGAGAGGAGGGCTGTTGGATTGTCGACAATGAAGACATGAGGGAACGAGCAGTTGGACACAGCAAAATATGAGAACACGAAGAGAGAGGGCACAGGCGAAAAATCGTACAATGGCAAATGCACACACACACACACACACACACACACACACACACAGACCGACACACACACACAGACACACACAGACACACACACACACACAGACAGACACACACACACACAGACAGACACACAAACACGCACAAAAGTCACATCTGACCTGCTTTGCCTCCATCATTGCAAGTGTGTTATCGAGGTGCTGCGACTGCTTGTCGCGATCAGCAACAGCTTCGTTCAGCCGCTGCAGCGCAGTCGTCAGAGCACTCGCCTGTGCGCATACACACACACGCACAACAGTATTGGGTGTGAGAAGAACCACAGCAGGTGCACTTTGCTAACCCTGCTGGTTTGTCTCACACACACCCAGACACTGCAGCACAGCACAACACGACAATAACATCCTACAAGAACACGCTGCAAGAAGCCACACACCACGCCACACTACAGGGCAGTGCGCCACATGGCAGCACGCCACCACCACCACCACCACCACCACCACCACGAATACGGACCAGGTGTTCGCGGGGCGCGTCCTCAAGATCGAAGGAGACGTCGACGACGCCCGTGAGCACTTCCTGAATGGCCGCCATCAGCGTCACCTGATGCAGCACACACAAACATACACGCATACACAGACACAGACACACACGCACGCACACATGAGGGCAGCGTGAGCAGATGACACGGAGACACTTGGATGTACATTGCATAAGCTTGCTACCTTCGTGTGCGTGGGTAAACAGTTGTGACGAACCTGAGTTGCGGAGTCGAAAGACTGCATGTACTCAACATGGCGCTCCCTAGTCGGTACCATGACGCGTGCGTGTGCAGAGAGAGAGAGAGAGAGAGAGAGAGAGAGAGAGTGTGTGTGTGTGTGTGTGTGTGTGTGTGGAGAACATGAGACAAATGCACCGTCGGGTCGTGTAGATGGTGGTGTTCAGCATGATCCTACGATCCACCGAACGAACGAGCGCGCATGGGGCACAGCTCACTTTGCGCTGCATTTGACGGACACGCCGAGAAGCAGGACAATAAAGCGGCGAATCGACTCGAGACCAGCAGCTGTTTGGCGGGAACGAACAAGCGAAAGACAGCGCAACGGCACGACGGCGAGGGGCACGGGACGAGCAGGAGGCGGTGGTGGTGGGGGTGGATGAGAAGGGAACATGGGCTGTCAACGTGACAGCATAGGCATGGGCGAATATAGGCAGCTGGATGCATGTCAAGACACATGCACATGTATGTGCAAGTACCTCGACACGCACGCACGCACACGCACGCACACGCACGCACACACACACACACTCACACACACTCACACACACACACGCACGCACACACACGCACGCACACACACGCACACACACGCACACACACACACACCGAGCAGGGGTTTGCGGGTGATGGTGGCGGGAATTGGCAGTTCAAGCACGAGCACGCTGTGAAGATGGTCCTGTGGATTTGTACACGGACAGGCAGTGGCAGGAAGTGAGTGCATGCATCGTACAGGCACAACAATGGGTTGACGCGTGACGGACTTGGCAGTGCAAGCACACGTAGTGTGCGTGCATGTGTGTGTGTGTGTACGTGTTGGAAAACAGCAAACACATTGTGACAGCTGTACAACAGTACAGCCGCGGAGATGCTTGGCGGCACCTGATAGTAGTTTGTGAGCGACTCCAGCAGCAGGTTCAGGTTCGTGTTCTGCTTGTCGGTGTCGCCATCCACCTGCACCATCATTCGCATACAGACAAATGCACACGCGTGTGTATGTGAGGTTGGCTGGACGTGCATAATTGTGAGGACGCACAAAACTGTGAGGAGCACAGTAGCATGCAGAGTTACAAACAGGTGCACAAATTGGCAAGAACAACATGAGTGTGCACACGCACGTTCTCCTCCACCCCGCCAATGTAGTCCCCGAAGAAGTCCTCGTCCCTGGTGTCAGAGATGTGTGTCAGTGTGTGTGCGTCAGTGTGTGTGCGTCAGTGTGTGAATGGGGTGACAAATGCCGTTGTTGTCCGTGGACACGGCAAATGATGGCACGTGCGGGGCAACGGTCAACATTATGCTGGGTATGGACGCTAACGAAAACAAGAGCAGCTCAAAGCACACGCTTGCTTGTGAGCATGCACAAAGGGCTGGAACGTACAGGACGCAGGCGACTTCGTTCAGGAAGATGCCATCCACCAGATCCGAGAAGCTGTTCAGCCCTGTGGATGTATCCTTCGCCAGCCCTTTCAGCTGTGTGTGTGTGGGAGGAGGGGTGGATGCGATACAAGGGTGGGCGTGAGCAAGTGAGCGGGTAATACATGCGGCTGGATCTCTCACGTACATATTTCCCAGATGTTCTCACGCACACGCACACATGTACATTCACACATGCACACACGTACACACACACGCACACGCACACACACGCACACACACACGCACACACATGTACATTCACACACACATACACACACAAAAGCACTCACCCAGGCCACGAGCGGCGAAGCCATGAACGTGTCAATGTCATCATCGGAGACGACATCTCGCTGTAAGCTGAGCGACATGCTGAAGGGGTGGCCTGCTGTCGTTTGTGGGTCGTGGTAGTCGAAGTAGTCGAAGTAGTCGAAGTTGTAGTGGCCGTGTGCTCAACGCGCGAGCAACAGCGTGCGGCCGACAGGGACGGGCAGCAGAAGCAGCACACCAAGAGCAAGTCCCTGTTGCTGGCGTCGCTTGCCGAGGTTCGTCGTGTGTGAGATGCTGCTGGAATGTGTGGTGTGATAGAGACAATGGAAAAAGAGTGGCGTTAAGGTTGCTGCGCACGTGGAATGGACACGCACCCAGCCAGGACTCCCGCGCAACCACCGCGCCTGCACAGCTCAGCCGGTGAAGCAATGCAACACAGCAAGTCCAGGCATGCACACACACACACACATCGATCACTCGCTCGCGCACTCACATTCGCGCTCGAACAAGCGACAGCTTTGCGCGTTGTGCTTGTTCTTCTTCTTGTCTGTTTTCCCTCTCTTCTTCGTGCCTTGTTTTTGTTTGAGGGCAAATTTGACTTCCTGAAAGGCAAATTTTGACGTGAAAGGACTCCTCGAAAAGCTGCTGAAACCACGGCCACTTTTCTCGCTCAGACGGTTGGTGCGTTTGTTTGTTGGCTGTGTTTGTTGTCGTGGCTGGTTGGTTTGTGGTTGGATTGTGTGGAGAGAGCGGTGATCGTGGTTGGTTGGATGGCTTGACTCGCTGGCTGGCTGTTATCCTTTATGGTTGCGGGTTGGTTGGTGCAGGAATGGCAATGGTGCTGGTGGCGGTGGTGGTGTATGGTGTGGGTGCTGGATGTGGTGGGGAAAGAGACAGGCCGTGTTGGCGCTTGTATTTGTTCGCTAATGGGTTGATGGGAGAAGAGTTGGAGTTGGAGTGTCATTGCTGCTTTTGCCGACTGTCCTTTTTCGCGTGACTGGGTTGGCGTTGCTTCTCATGCCTTTTGGCGTGCTTCACTATCGTTGCTGCTGCTGCTACTGCTGGCACTTTGTACTCACACACTGCTGCGTGTCTTGGTTATTGCCGTGGCTGTTGCTGACCACCTGAACGCAGCAGCCAACAAGGGACAGGACAGGTACGCACCACGCACACGTCACGCACACACACGCACGAACACATCACGCGCACACAATTCGTGTCAGTAGCAAGTGGGAACAGAGACGGCGGCTGGGATGATGTGTGGGGCCAACATTCTTGCTTGAGCTCGGATCCTGGGCATTCCACCACGCAAACACTGGCTCCCATCCTCACATCACCACCGTATTTGCTGATTCACTGGGTTCATGCACACACTCATACCGCTTCGCCTCCTCCGCTGTGCTGTGCACCTCTCTGTCTGACCAGAATTTCCCATACCAGGCCAAGGCTCCCTCGTTTGTACTCGTTGTTGGCAGTGGAGTGAAGGCACAACACGCGATACGACCCAGCAGCCGGCATCATGTCTGCAATTGACCCCAAGAAGACAGTGGACCGCGTGGTGGGCAACGTTCATCACCCTGAGACAAAGGTCCTGGATCTCGAAGGTACGCCTACAAGATCGTGTATGTGTGTGTGTGTGTGTGTGTGTGTGTGTGTGTGTGTGTGTGTGTGTGTGTGTGTGTGTGTGTGTGTGTGTGTGTACATCATACGTTCTCGCCCCCATTTCGGGTGGCGGTGAGGATCATTTGTACTGAGGATCATTCGTACTCTGCTCGTTGGTGTATGCTCACTCCATCACGTACGTCTTGCTTTCCACGTTGCAGACATCCTGGACGACAACAACCTCCCCAAGGATGAGCTGCTGCGCGACCACTTCAAAGCCGAGGGCCGCGTCACATCCCGCGCGTGCGTCTATCTCCTCAACAAAGTCAAGGAGATTCTCAAGACAGAGGTGCGCCCCTGTGCTGTCTTTGCTGTTCATGTTGGCGATACTGTTGCCGTTTCTTGCTTGCATGCACCTGCACACGTGTGCTTTGAACGTGCATGTGTGTATGTGTGTCCGTGCGTGTCTGCGTGTCTGTGCGTGTCTGCGTGCACGTACTTGCAAGATGTGCGTGTGCGCGCATTTGTGCTTGTTGTCCTGACCATCTTGGTTTCGTGCGTTCGCTGCGTTTGCTTGTGTGCGCAGCCCAATGTGCTGCGTGTCCCTGCACCCATCGTGATTGTGGGCGACATTCACGGGCAGTACTACGACCTCATGAAGGTACACATGCAACTGTGTTTGTCGTGTGTTTGTGTGTGCATGTATGCTGTGCGCGCGTGTGCATTCTGTGTGCATGTGTGTGTGCATGTATGCTGTGCGCGCGTGTGCATTCTGTGTGCATGTGTGTGTGCATGTATGTGTGTGTGTGTGTGTTCTGTGCGTGACTGCCATTTCTTCCTGACACGCGCCTGCGGTGCACGTGTGCAGGTGTTTCAAGTTGGCGGCGATCCAAAGAAGACCCAGTACCTCTTCCTCGGCGACTATGTCGTACGTATTGCGGAACGATCCCTGCCGTCTGATGGACAACACAGCAAAAGCAAACACACGCACACACACACACACCTACACACTCACTCACTCACTCACACACTCACTCACTCACTCACTCACTCACTCACTCACTCACTCACTCACTCACTCACTCACTCACTCACTCACTCACTCACTCACTCACTCACTCACTCACTCACTCACTCACTCACTCACTCACTCACTCACTCACTCACTCACATGCATATCCGTCTCCCCCCCCCTGTGTGCCTGTCAGGACCGCGGGTACTTTTCGCTGGAGTGCGTGCTGTACATCTGGGCGCTGAAGATCCGGTACCCAAAGACCATCTGGCTGCTGCGCGGCAACCACGAGTGCCGCCACCTCACAGAGTACTTCACATACAAGACGGAGGTCGAGTACAAGTGCGAAGAGGAGGTGTATGAGGAGTGCATGGACTGCTTTGACGCGCTCCCGCTCGCAGCCATCATGAACGAACAGGTACAGTGTGCACGTTTGTATGTATGTGGTATTGCGTGCGTGTGTGTGCGTGTGCGTGTGTGTGTGTGTGTGTGTGTGTGTGTGTGTGTGTGCGTGACAAAGTGCGCGCGTGTTTGCGTTTCCGAGTGGACAGGTGAGGTGGCGAACATGCAAGAATGCACGGTGAATGTATCGCTTGCTGCTGCCGCACCATGCCACCATCACCGCTCACCATCACCGCCACCATCACCGCTGATTGGTTGACTGATTGCAGTTCTTCTGCGTGCACGGCGGCATCTCGCCAGAGCTGATGCTCGTCGAAGACATCGAGTGAGCCAACTCTTCCCTCTCCGGCCGTGTTTGAATGGTTGTGTAAGCGCGTGTGAAGCCGGCTGTGTGTCTGTACTGTATGCCTCTCCTCACTGAAACTCACACCACCGCCGCCACCTCCACGGCCGTCCTCTGCCTTGTTCCGTGTGTGCCTGCAAGCAAAATCGACCGCTTTATGGAGCCCGAGGAGAGCGGCCCAATGTGCGACCTGCTCTGGTCCGACCCGCACGAAAACTACGACGGCGTACGTGTGGTGCTGGCGGTGGATGGTCGTAGAGTTGCGTGGTTGGTTGCCTGGTTGCCTGGTTGCTTGGTTGGTCATGATACTGGTCACTCAGTGCTCGCAGACGTACCGCCCATGTCAGGTAGCGGTGTTCTGTGACAATGCATCTCACGCCTTACTTGCGTGCTTGCGTGCATGCATGCATGTACCTGTACCATTTATTGCAGGACACGGGGCAAGCCAACTTTATGCACAACGACACGCGCGGGTGCAGCTACGTTTTCACACACAAGGTCTGACCCATTTCTCGAAGAGTCGCTCGCACCCTCTGCCAACCATCTGTCGTGATGGTTTACACCTCACACACACACACACACACTCGCTGTCACATGTACACACTCACTCACACTCACTCCCTCATGTACTCACTCACGTACTCACTCTCACTCACTCACATGTGCATACACAGGCTGTGTGCGAATTCCTGAACCGGAACCGCCTGCTGTCTGTCATTCGTGCACACGAGGCACAGGACGCAGGGTACCGCATGTACAAGGTACAGACGCCGAGTCACACACACACACATACATACATTGCAGGTTGTGCTCCGTCTCTCAGTGGCTGTTTTCATGCGCACTGCGTGTGTGCGCATGCGTGCCAAAGTGGCAAACCAATACTGTTGCTCACACATATGCGTGCGTGCATGTGTGCGTGTGCGTGTGCAGTCGAACCCGGAAACAGGCTTTCCTTCCGTCATCACCATCTTTTCCGCTCCAAACTACCTCGACGTCTACAACAACAAGGTGTGTGCTTGTGTCCGTGCTTGTGTGTGGACAATTGTGTTCTCGTGTGTGCACTTTCGTGTGCGTGTGTGTGTGTGTACGTTCGTGGTTGTGTTCTCGTGTGTGCACATGGCGCGGCTGGCTTGATGCTTACGTGGGTGCCTTTTGCCACTGCTTCGCATCTGCAGGCTGCTGTGATGATCTACTCCAACAACTCCATGAACATCAAGAAGTTTTCACATACGGAGCACCCTTACTGGTGAGACGCAACAGGAAAACTGGTGCCCATGACCCCCTGAAGATGCATGCGCGCATTCATGCATGCACAGGCGACGACTGTGTTGCTTGGTCGCTGTTGTTGTCCCGCTCCAGTGTCAAGCAATCACCAGTCTCACCAACCTCGCACCTCCTTTGCCTTGACAACCAACCACCACACCTGTGACCATCAGGCTGCCCAACTTCCTTGATGTGTTTTCGTGGTCGCTGCCGTTTATTGGGGAGAAGACGACGGAGATGCTGGAGAGCATCATGTCCGTCTGCACCGCAGAGGAGCTTGAGCACAAGGTGCGCTGGCCTTGTTGTTTAAGTTGTTGTTGTTGTTTAAGTTGTTGTTTAAGTTGTTGTTGTTGTTGTTGTTGTTGTTTAAGTTGTTGTTTAAGTTGTTTAAGTTGTTTAAGTTGTTTAAGTTGTTGTTGTTGTTGAAGTTGTTTAAGTTGTTGTTGTTGTTGTTGTTGTTTAAGTTGCTGTTGTTGTTGTTGTTTAAGTTGCTGTTGTTGTTGTTGTTGTTGGTTAAGTTGTTGTTGTTTAAGTTGTTGTTGTTGTTGTTGTTGTTGTTGGTGAAGTTGTTGTTGTTGTTGTTGTTGTGTTGTTGTTGTTGTTGTTGTTGTTGTTGTTGTTGTTGTTGTTGTTGTTGTTGTTGTTGTTGTTGTTGTTGTTGTTGTTGTTGTTGTTGTTGTTGTTGTTGTTGTTCCTCCTCTCATCCCAATCCATCATCGCCTTGCGCGTTGTGCAGGACCACGAGCTTGATGCATTGGCAGAGAAGATGAAGACGGCAATGCACAACGTCAAGGAGCGCCGCCAATCATACAGGTGTGTGTGGGTGTGTGCGCCCTGGGCTCTGTTGTGGCTGCATGCATTGTTCCCGGCGTTGTCTTTGCCCTCGCCACGACTCGCTTGCACCAACCATACGTGTGTATATGTGTGTGTGTATGTGTGTGTGTGTGTGTGTGTGTACGCGTGTGCGCGCCATTGCTTGTGCTCAAACAGCGACATTGCGGACATCAACCGGCGCTCGCTGCGTCTTGCTGGCGCCATGAACCCGACCGGAGACAACCTGGAGGAAGAGGATGTGGTGCGTCTCCATACCATCTCGCTTTCCCTCCTGCCAAACACATGCCCCTGCCAATTGCGCATGCACACACACACACACATGCACACACACATGCACACACACACCACATGCACACACACACACACACACCACATGCACACACACACACACACCACATGCCCATGGACGCTCACCCAATCTCGGGACGCGCGGTTCCTCAACACCATACACTTTTGTTTTTTTTCAGGGCGAGGTGCACAACTTTGCAGAGGCAAGGGCGATTGACAAGAAGAACGAGAGCTGGCCCACGGAGAAGGATGTTGGCAAGGCACGCCGCTTCCGCCGCAGACAGACGCTCGAGGACATTGACGCGTGAAAGCCGCCCGTCACCCCCCTCCCCACGCACGATATCGCCGTCCCGTGTCGAGCGTAGCAGGAAGAGCCATGGAGCGTGCTGGCGTGTGTGGGCCTACGCCCCGCATCCTCTTCCCCAGCAGCCCGTACGCGTTTCCTGTTGTGTTTTCTCGTTGTTGCTGTGGTCTCACTACTACTTTGAATAATGCCTCTCGTTTTCCACGGATTCATTAAGTGCCCCCCCCCCCTCCCCAAACCCTTGCGATTTCTTCAGTTCTTCCGCCATTGTTTTGGTTGTTAGTAGCACCGCAATCACATCACCCCATTCCCCTCGTTGTGCCTGCTTGGTTCTCTTTCTTCCCTTCCCTTCCCATTCCTTCCTTTCCTTTCCATTTACTTGCTCATCATGTCTCATTCGTTTGCCCCTTCGTTTGCCCTTTCGTTCGTTGAGCGCTGTGTTTGTTACCTGCCATCATTACAAGGATTCCATGCAAAATTAGCTGATCAAAGAACTTGGCATGCGTTTGGGTCAAGTGCTTATTTTGCCATCAAACCGACCGAAGGGAAGAAGGACCAACAAAACGACAGCGATGACGGAGAGCACCCTGCCACCACAACTGGACTTCTCCAAGCCAGGGTGAGCAGTGAGTGTGAGAGAGTGTGAGTGTGTGCATGTGTGAGTGTGAACAGTGAGTGTGTGCGTGTGAGTGTGTGAACAGTGAGTGTGTGCGTGTGAGTGTGTGTGAGTGTGTGTGGTTGAACATGAAACAGATCAACCATAATATGTGCACAACTGTACCGCCGTTGACATCAGCCCCCTTCCATTTGGCTCTCTTGCTCCATCCCTCACTCATTCACGACAACACCTCAGGTCGTTTCCGTATGAAACGCTGCGAACGCGCATGCCGGTCATCTTGACCAAGGCCATCGACAGCTTGCACCAGCACATCTCAGACAACGTGGAGGATGTAAGCAGCTCATGTGTGTGTGTGCATGTGTGTGTGTGTGTGTGTGTGTGTCGTGAACAACTGGGCAACAAGCGGGTGTGTTTACGATTTGATACACAACTCCTTTTTCTGTGCACACACACATATATATATGCACACACACATATACACACACGCACACATGCACGCACTTGTGCAGGAGGGCCGCTCGGAGGCCATGGCGTCGATTGGACGCTTGACCAAGTTGAAGTACGAGATGCAGGTGAGCAAAGCAGGTCTCCTGTTTACATCCACCATGTCCTCTAGCGGCGAGGTTTCCCGCATGCTTCTCATGCCCCTTGTCTCCCCAATCATGCACACATGTTATGCCAAGACGGGCAAAGTGATGCGCAAGCTGGACGATGACGGGGATGACGTGGATGTGTGGCACGAAACCTTGGATCGGATGGCGGCACAGCATTCTGAAGATGCAAAGTGTGTGTGTGTGTGTGCGTGCTTGTGTGTGTGTGTGTGTGTGTGTGTGTGTGTGTGTGTGTGTGGATGTGTGTGGATGTACACGTGTGTGTGTGTGTGGATGTGTGTGGATGTACACGTGTGTGTGTGTGTGTGTGTGTGTGTGTGTGTGTGTGTGTGTGTGTGTGTGTGGATGTGTGTGTGGATGTGTGTGTGGATGTGTGTGGATGTACACGTGTGTGTGTGTGTGTGTGTGTGTGTGTGTGTGTGTGTGTGTGTGTGTGTGTGTGTGTGTGTGTGGATGTGTGTGTGGATGTGTGTGGATGTACACGTGTGTGTGTGTGTGTGTGTGAACTTTGCTCTGCCCTTGTGTATCATCTCAGTGTTTGACGCACACGCTGGTTTTCAGGTGGTGGAAGCTGCCTTGGCTCTTCTCCGAGTGCTACATGTACCGTCGTATCCGCGAAGCCACCCTACTCTCGCAAGTTCTGCACGTGCTTGTGTGTACTTGTGAGCGGTAACGTGCAGGGGTCGGGTGGTTGCCATACCTCACTGCTCTGTTTTATTATTCATGTATTGGGTGTCCACTTACACGCGGCATCTTTGGTCTATGCGCAGACGAATGCTGCGTGATGTGGACCCATTCTGGGGCTCAAAGACATCTTCGTACCACTGCTCCGAGACACGCATCGGTACAGAGACTACAATGTTCGCCAACAAGCCAGCGTCACACACCACACCAGCACCAGCACCATGTTGTAGTGTAGTGTCCACGTGCTCTTCTTCATGTTGTTTCATGATCACATGCGCTCATCCGTCGTCTGCTTGTGCACAGGGGAGCTGGCGGCGTTTGTGCACGGAACAGCGTGTCGCATGGACAACAACGAAAAGGCCTTTGAAATTCTCCTGCAGGTGCAAGCAAGGAATGCGCGCACGCATGCGTGCATGGATGCATGAATGACGGATGGGTGTGTACGTGGGTGCGTGGCCTGTGTGTATTTCCTCGTTTTCGCTCTTTCCCGAACCCCCTTCTGACTCCAACTGTGCTCTGTGCGCACGTGGTACTCTCAGTGTCTCATCCCACTTGCGTTGTGGTCTGTCCCGTGTGGTACGTGCAGTTCAGTCTGTGGGGCAACAAGAGCGACCTGTCCCTCATGGCCGATTTCGACGGCAGCGAATCCCTCGACCACATGCAGGTCAGCTGTGATGTTGTGTGTGTGTGTGTGTGTGTGTGTGTGTGTGTGTGTGTGTGTGTGTGTGTGTGTGTGTGTGTGTGTGACGCTGTGTGGTGTTGTGTGATGTGTTGTGCTGTGTTGTGCTGTGTGGTACCCGTGCATATTTTGCATGTGTGCGTTTGCCACTTCTTCTTCTGCATGTCTTGCTCACACATACATTCACATACATGGCGAATCTCATGTGCAGGCGAGCACAGAGGCGCATCTGCAGGAGCTGAAGCAGCACATTCTCTGCGATGACACCGCCATGCTGTGGGAACGGTGCGACACCACACGCGGCGGCTGCTTGGTCCATTGCCTTTGTGTGTGTGTGTGTGTGTGTGTGTGTGTGTGTGTGTGTGTGTGTGTGTGTCTGTGTGTGTGTCCGTGTGTGTCTGTGTGTGTGTGTGTCTGCATGCATGGTGTGTTGTGCGCACTGTACTAATACCAAGGTGTATTGGGGGTATTGGCTTGTGTCAGAGTTTCATCGTTCAAGAACGCATGCGTGCACATTGTCCTCGACAACGCAGGCATCGAGGTGTGTGTCTGTGTGTCTGCGTGTGTGTGTGTGTGTCTGCGTGTGTGCGCGTGTGTGTTTGTGCGCGTGTGTGTTTGTGTGTTTGTGTGTGTGTGCGTGTGTGTGTGTGTGTGTGTGTGTGTGTGTGTGTGTGTGTGTGTGTGTGTGTGTGTGTGTGTGTGTGTGTGTGTGTGTGTGTGTGTGTGTGTGTGTGTGTGTGTGTGTGTGTGCGTTGTAATGAGCGCTTGCCACAGAGAAACCCCACCCCTCCCCCGCTTTCGCCACTCACTTTCATATTGCATGTTTTGCTGCAGCTGTTTTCTGATCTGTGTTTTGCGCACTGGCTTGTGCACACCAATCACGCAAAGACGGTACCGGCTTTTGTGATGCCTTCCTTAATGTGGCACACGTGCAACTGAAGTGCTTTGTTTTCCTTGTGTCACGCAAACAAGCATCACACATTGTCAGCACAGTCAGCGCTCAGCACCACTCAAACACGCGTACAAACACGCATCAGCAGTCACATACATCAACACAAACATTAACACACGCATACACATCAACGCACACATATCGACACGCACACACATACTGAACCACAACAACAACACTGCATACAGGTTGTGTTCCACGGCAAGGCGTATCCGTGGTTTGTCTCTGACGTGACGCGGCGGGATCTGGACTGGATGCTGGACCAATTGTCCGAGACGGAGGACAGCGACGCACGTGCGCATCTCGCCGCCCTGTGGAAGCAACACTTTGCAGAGGGCGTCTTTGTCTACCAGAGTGTACGCGAGATGGTGTTGTGCTGTGCCGTGCTGTGCCGTGTTTGTGTGTGTGTGTGTGGGGGGGGGGTTTGTGTGTGTGTGTGTGTGCGTGCGTGTAAGTGTGTGTGTGTGTGTGTGTGTGTGTGTGTGTGTGTGCGTGCGTGTAAGTGTGTGTTTATGTGTGTATGTGTGTGATCTGTGTTGAAGTCGCAAATGTGACGCGGCATGCATGTTGCGGTGCAATGCAGCGAGCTGTGGTCACACCATCGTTGCTTCCATTTTGCACGCGTGCCACGCTTTACTGCAATGGCTGACACGTGCTGGTCTCCCATGACTGCCGTGTGTGATGGGTTCCAGGATCCCTTCTGGACATATCCACACGAGTTTGAGCGCATGCCCGAATCCGCGCCCGACCTCTACAAGTGCGCACACTTTCGGATCTGTTGTGTTGTGTTGTGTGTTGTGTGTGTGTGTGTGGATACTGTGGAAGCGGGAGGCGTGTTTGTAACCCGAACCATGTGTTGTGCCTCACTCCTGTTTCTTGCTCACACATTTACACTTGCACACACGCGCACACAGGACGCTGGCCTCTGCAGATCTCATCATGTTCAAGGGCGACCTCAACTATCGCAAGCTGGGTGCGTGCGGGTTTGTCCGATTGCGTGTGAAACGCATGATACGCACACACAACGTGGAGACATGCTTGTGCGCGTGCCACAAACATGCGGGTTACACGCACACACGCACACAACAAACACGCACACACACACATACACACACACAACAAACACGCACACACACATACACACACAAACACAAACGTACACACACACCTCACATGCACATACACACACACGCAACTCACACACACAACAAACACACATGTAGTTGCCGATCGGATGTGGCCTGCGGACACGCCATTTGAGAAGGCACTTGGTCCCTTTACGCCGGCCATGCTGGTTGCCCTGCGCACTCTCAAGTCGGACACGCTGGCCGGCGTGCCCCTGGCGCGGGTGAAGCAGGCAGAGGAGAACGACCCAGCGTGGAACGTCAACGGCACCACCGCCGTGATCCAGTGCTTTCGCCCAGCAGCGGCACAGTGATGGCGATGTTCACGTGCACTGGAGGCGGGGGGGGGCGACACACGGGTGAATGGTGCATGAGGACGAGGCAAGGAAGAGGCACGACACGACATCGCGTCACATCACATCACAGGCAACAAGCAGTGCAGCAAGGTCCGCCGTCAGGCAACTACAAGCACTACCATACATATTTCTGTGTGTCGTGCGTCAGGCGTGTATTGGGAATAAGCGACATCAAAAAGTAGCACACTTTCACCGAGTATTCTTCGCTACCGCGAAGGACCAACCAATCGTCACTCCGCCTTAAATGGAAGTGCATTTGAGAATGAAACACGGCAGTCGACTCCGTCGAAGCGTTTGTCCCTGCGATACGACACCCCCTGCTTGCCCCGGGTGCCCCTTCCCTTTGTTCCACCTTGATTGCTTGCGTGCTTTGTGTGCTCTTTTGTTGCGCGTTTTCCCTCGTTGTGCTTTTCTTTGTGTTCTTTGTTGTTGTTGTTTTTGTCGCTTGCTTGCTTCTTGGTGCGCCACGCACACACGCACAAACACCAGCGAACCGCACAACGCACAGAAAAGCAAAGCAAAGCAAGGCACAAGAGAGACCTTGCTTGCAGACCTTGGCTGTGCAAAAAGGTTGTTGGGGCCTTTCCGCCTTCTTCCTTCCTCCATTCTCTCGCTCGCCCTCGCACCAACGCGCCAGCTTTCCTTCTGATCGTCTGCCTCTACTTGCTTGTTGTGTGATCTCTCTCCTTCTGTTCCTTGCTTGCTTCCTTCTTCTTTCTTCTTCGACGACGAAGACGGTGGTGTGACAGCATGACCTTGAGCGCCACCGCCCCCGCTCTCGTGGCGGTGGTGGCCCTTCTTGTTTTTGTGGTTTCGTGTTCAACGCAAGCAGCAACAGGAGCAGCAGTGTCACTGGGCGTGTGCGGCGGTAGGTGACCCACATGACGCGTGTTGTGTTTGTGGCGTGCGCGGTGTTGTCTGCTTGCGTCTGTGTTGCGTATGCTTATGTTTCAGTCATGCGCGTTTGTGCAATGGCCCCTCTGTGCGCACCTCCTCTCATGTTCATGTGTTTGGCGTCATTCATGACACTCGCCTCCTTGCTGTGTGCAATGCAGGTGTCGGACCAAAAAGCGCATTCATCTGCGAGGGTGGACGTACGTTGCCGTGTTTGCTGCACGTCTACTGCGTTGTGTGGATGTACACGTGTTGTGTGTGTGTGTGTGTGTGTGTGTGTGTGTGTGTGTTTGTATGTGTGTTGATGTGTTTGTGTTTGTATGTTGATGTTGCTTGGCTCATCTCTGCTTGCTGTTTGGCCCATCTCTTGTTCGCGTTCTGCCTCTCTCTCTCTCTCTCTCTCCCTCTTCCAAACTCAAACAGAGGGCCTGAGATCCCCCATCTTCAGCTGCGACGCCAACAACAACTGTAGGCTTTCACGTCGTCAATCCACCACAATTTCAACTGTCGCAGTCGCATCCGCCACACTGAACTCCACAGAGCCTCCTTGTTGCACCTACGACTCACACACACTCACAAGCACACCAACCTCCGCGGTCATCCTCACTCATTCGCTCACACACACAAACACACACACATTTGCACACGTGCAGTGGAGATCCGTGCCACGTGTTCGCCCCTCGGCATTGTCAACATCACTGAGCGCAGGTCCAAGAGCGTGGAAATCCCTGTGCGCAAATCCACCTTTGTCCTCGAGTGTCCTTCCGCCCATCGTACGTTGTGCTTTCATGGGTCGTGCACTGGTTGTGTGTGTGTGTGTGTGTGTGTGTGCACTGGAAGTTGCCTCCATCGCTCATTGTTGCACGCCATTCTCATTTGCAGCGGGCATCCGCGGCATTGAGTATCAAGGACATCAATTTGTGCTGCTGTGTGAGGAGGTGCCAGGTGAGCATTCTTGTTCCTTCGTTCTGTGCAACAAGCCGCATGTGCAATGAGCCGACGCACTGGCTGACCCGCTCACTCACGCACTGGCTGACCCCCCCCCCCCACCAAAACACACACACACACACGTTGCAGGTGCTTGGGTTGTCGATCCGAAAGACTTTGACCGATATGGCCTCCGCGACAATACACTGGGCTCCGGCACTCTGCAAGCGTCAACCAGACGCGTGCAACTTCCAGATATGATCCCTCTATGTACGTGCACATGTACTTGTTTTTCGTTGCTTCTTTGGTAGTTTGTTTGGTTGTTTGTTTTGTTGGATAGTTAAATGTGTGTGTATGTGTGTGTGTGTGTGTGCGCGCGCGCGGCTCTGTGCGCCCCTCACCTGCATTCGGTCTTCCCCCGTACTCATGCTGCCGACCACTGCCATCGGTGTGGTTGTATTCTACGCTGCAGACTTCACAATCAACAACATCGTGACATTGGAGGCAGTGACCATCGAGGTGGCCGCCACAAAGGTACTTGTGCATCTCCAATGCCTGACCTGATTGCTTTTGGTTTCATTTGACACGCATGTGTGTGGATGAATGAAAGTACCCATGCACACGCTCTCGCATTATCTCTATACCTTCCCCATCTTTGCTCCTTGTGTCCCAATTCACAATGAACCACACACACACACACACACACACAATCACACACACAATCACACACACACACACAATCACCCACCCACAATCACTGCAGTTGCGGTGCACGGCGACAGGAACGATTTCGAACGACGAAAAGTGTGAATGTGGGTTGAATCAATACCACCTTGATCAAGTGTTTCACCACCACAACAAAGATCAACACCATCATTATGGCGGTGGCCACCGTGAACAGAACTAGCTGCCTTTCCTGAAAATGCTTGAGTAGCTGTTGCTGTTAACTCTGTGGTTTCGCTGTCATCACTGAGACTACGGTCCTTCACGGGTGGTGTTCCCTTACCTGTTAACATGCCAGTTTGCCCTGGCTATGTGGTGTAGTAAAACTTATCGCCTTTCAGCTCTGCCGTCAACTCACGTTGTCTTTTCATGGGTGGCGGGTTTTGTCATTTGTGGCGTGTGGTTTGTGTCGTATTGCATCTCCCTGTGCATGCGTGTGTGTGTGTGTGTGTGTGTGTGTGTGTGTGTGTGTGTGTGTGTGTGTGTGTGCAGATGACAAGTGTCCTGCCTTTGACCTCGATGGGGGAACACCAAATGGAACGACATGCGACAATCCAGTCTACGGTCAGGACCTGCTGTTGCTCTCGGTGTTGGTGTTGGTGTTGTTGCTGTTGCTGCCGTCGTCATTTGGTGTTGTATCGTGTCTGCGATTGCCCGATACCACATCACCCCCGCCTTTCTTTATCGGCCCCACCTCGCCGACACTGCCCTATCCCACCCATATAGCTGCACATGCGCGCGCACAACCACCACAAGCCACAAACCATACACGTGAATCAAACCACGCGAACATGCTCACACGTCCGCGCGTGCGTACACGTGCACCTGTTAACAACCACCACCAGGGGCCGTGTGCACTGTGCTCGGCTGCCCCGCTGGCCAGCGGTTGGAGTCAAACGCGCCCATATCACTTCGCTGCGGCCCAACCATGCAGGTCTCGCCCAGTGCCAACTGCGTCGGTCAGTTCATCATCAATGGGTCGGCTGATCTTACTGCAGTGTGTTTGCGCACTTGTGTGCTTTGTATGGGTGTTCTTGTGTTGTGTTTGTATATACTTGTGCTCGTGTGTGTGTGTGTGTGCGTGTGCGTGTGCGTGGCGAGCCAGCATCTGCACGCGTGTTTACGTTGCGTAAAGCTATGCATAGACGTGCATGCGCTGCGTTGCTCGACGCCTCTGCACGTCCATTCTCACACCTTCTCACGGAACACACTCGCCCTTCTGCCTTGTGACACGACAGATTGTGACGTGGGATTCGTGAGCGAGGCCAAGTCCCCGGTCTGCCGCCCGTGCCTGAACTCCTACCAGGTACGACGCTTGCTCCACAGCTGTGTGAGAGAGAGAGAGAACGTGTGCGTGTGTGCATGCGTGTGTGTGTTGTGTGTGTGCATGTGTGTGTTGTATGCATATGTTTGAATTGTCTGAATGTATTTGAATTGTATGAATGTGCGTGCGTGCGTGCTGCCACACCACAACTGTCTTGCTGAGCACCTCCACCCAATTCCCACGCAACACGCACCCAACGCAGGATGAGCGCGGGCAAGGTACTTGCAAGCAGTGCAGGCCGGGCAACTACACGCGCGATGGGAAGTCTGAAGTGCCGTGTCCATGGGGCCACGAGTGCCCATCAGACGACTGCATCTCCGTCATGTGCAAGCCCGGATATGCACAGCCAAAACTTGGCCAAGCATCCTGCATCCCCTGCGATGTGGGCTCGTACTCGGTGCGTCGAGCGTGTGTGTGTGTGTGTGTGTGTGTGTGTGTGTGTGTGTGTGTGTGTGTGTGTGTGTGTGTGTGTGTGTGTGTGTGCGCGCCTGTGTGTTGTTGCTGTTATTGTTGTTTAAGTTGTTGTTGTTTTGTTGTTGTTGTTTTTGGGGGGGCGGGCGTTTGTCTTTATTGTGCATGGATGCAACCATGCACATTCACCACCATTACGATTGCACTGACACACACACACACGTACGTGGCAGAATGCAAACGGGACGCGCAGGTGCGAAGCGTGCCTGGCAGGCAAGTTCACGGACGAGCGCGGCCAGACGACGTGTCGTCCCGCATTGCCAGGGTACCACGTGCCGGAAAAGAACAGCGACCACCAGCTACCCTGCCCACCAGGAACGTTTACAGCCACGACGGGGCAGTCGACCTGCCAGCCGTGTGGACCCACCGTCATCCAGCCAGAGGTGAGTTAACCAAGGCAGCGACAGCAGCGGTGATGTTGCTGAGGGTGGTGACGTTGACCTTGATTGACACATGTTCACAAGCACACGCTCACAAGCACACCAAAGTACAAGTCACTAACGATGAATCACACACACACACACACACACACACACACACACACACACACACACACACACACACACACACACACACACACACACACACACACACACACACACACACACACACACGCTCTCACCTCGCCCCCCCCCCTCTTGTACTTCCAACCCCATCCCATCATTCCCCTTCCCCAGGCGGGCAGTGAGCGGTGCCGGCCGTGTGATGCTGGCATGTATCGGACATCACCCACCACGCAGGCCATCTGCCCTCTCGACAACACATGCAGTGGGTGTGTCCTCACCCCATGCGCAAACTCCAGCAACGATTACGACGTAAGCCCCATTTTTGTGTGTTGTGCGTACCCTGCTACAGTCTTTTCCCACCAACACACTCGCTTCTTCATTTTGTTTGTTCCAAGCAACACACAAACGCACACACACACACCGAAGCACACACACACACACACACACACACACACACACACACACACACACACACACACACACACACACCCCAAAGCACACACACGCCAAACGCCAGCGTACTCACACGTCCTTCTCCCCAACCCCAACGCCACACCTGCATGACTTGCATCAGTGCCTGTGCTCCTCTGCTGGCGTGTGCAGCGAGATTGGCGTGGGCGACCTCTCCCCCACGGACCAGCTCGTGTACACCCTCGCCTCCACCGGTCCCGCCGGCGGCGCGTTCTGGCCCGTCGTTGACCTCCACAGCAGACGCGGGCTCGTGCTCAGCTTCATGCCGCGTGGCCGCGGTGGCGTGTTCCATGCAGACCCCACAGCGGACATTGCGTTTGCAGGCAACCTCTCATTCATCGCCACAAGTGACATGAGCTCGTTTCACACCGCCCTGCGCGCCATCGCATACACGGAGGGCAAGCGGCAGTTGCTCCCTCTTCTGAACGTCAGTGTCAACACAAACGGCGTGCACATGTCCATCTCCTTTCGCACACACGCAATCACGGGCGTGTCCTCCTTTGATGCCATCGTGCTTGTGCTCTCTGGCGACTTCATCTTAATTGACACGACCAACCCCAACGACGACACGCGAGCCGAGGGCCTCGGTAGTGCCAACAGCACGGGCACTGGCGACAGCGCCACCACCAGCACCACCAGCAGCGATGACGTGGTTGTTCAGTTGACCACGCAGTCAACAACGATTGTCGTTGCTGAAGTGCATCCCAGGAATCTGGGCGGAGGCGGTGTGGATCCCACCGTGAACCCGCAACAGTACTTTCGCACAACGCAGGACATCACGCCATTTCCGCAGTGCGCCAGCGAACGCGTTCTGCAGACTGTCACCAACGCGCACGTGGAAGACATTGCGCCCCACGTCCTTCCCTACACAGAGCAGTCGCTATCGTCGTCTTCGTCGTCGTCGTCGTCGTCGTCGTCGTCGTCGTCATTGCCACCACCGTCTTCCCGGCTGTCGCTGAAGCAAGTGCAGCAAATGCTCCGTGCCATGGCTGTGGACATAGACGTGGATGGTGGTGATGGCGGTGGTGGTGGCGATGGTGATGAGCGTGGTGATGGCGGCTTGGCGTTCAGCGTCGTCGTGCTGCCTGAGATTGACGAGCACTTTGACGTGGCGCGGGCCTCTGTGCACGTGGTGGACAGCGTGGGCAACGCCGTGCCGCACCTCGTGTCGCAGAACCTCACGCTCGTCTACGTGCCTGTGAACGCGTCCGTGCTGCCCTACACGTTCAACTTCACGCTTACGTTGGACGATGGGACCTTGCACGCATGCACATTCCCCGTGCGCGCCAGCACGCCAAACAACGTGCTTGAGCTTCCACCGCTGCTGGTGACTACACAGTCCTTGACGGCATCAACCACGACCGGCAACGGCGGTCCAGCCTTCAACGCAACGCACATCCTTCCTACAGGTACGCGCGTGCCTGCTGCTGCTGCTGCTGCTGCTACTGCTGATGCCGCTGCTGACACAACATGCACCCTCACTCATTCGCTCACTCACTCACTCCCTCACTCACTCACACACACACACTCTCTTGCTCACACTCACTCGCACATTCACTCACTCACTCGCACGTTCACTCACACCCCCCTCCCCTTCCCGCATGGCTGTTCAGGTGCGTGGGCGACGGTTCCCATCGTGAGCCGAGAGGACAAGCCGCAGGACCTCAGCTTCACCTTTGAGACGCTGCCCGGATATCGCGTGCAGGTGCCGAGCGACACGCGCCTGGCCGTGGATCTCGCGTTTGCCGCCAGCGACGACACCCGTCTCCCGGCGCAAGTGCTCTCAGATGTGCACGTGTCCGTCTACACGCGAAGTGACGCCGACACGCCGGAGCAGCTGCTGAACCTGCAGCTGAGCGCGGCGTTCGTCTCCGCCAATGGGCTGCGCATTGCTGGCTCCACAGACGTGCTTCGCCTCCCGCAGCGCCTGCACAGCCTGCGCGTGTCCATGCATGTTCCCAGCGCCGTGTTCACCAACGCCACGAACGTGCTTCGAGGCAGAATCACCAACTCGGTGCAATACGTGAGCGCGCTTGGCACGGGCGTGCAGGTGGTGGATGTGTCAGCGCCGGTCATTGCTTCGACCACGTGCGCCGTCGTCTACACCAACACGGACCCGAACGCGGACGGGGCAACCTTCCCTGGCGACCAGGTCCTACGCAACGTCACAGAGAACGACTTTCTCACACGCGTTTGGGTCGAGTACCAGAACATAGGGGACAGCACGTGGCACACGATTGACCTTGAGGCGGGAGCCCGCTATCCCTTGATCAAGTTTCCTGGACCCAGGCGGATGCGAATCTTTGCCAGAGACCGCGCGGGCCTAACGGCGCAATGTGAACCACGCATGGTCGTGCGGGACAAGGAAGAGCCAGAAGTTTCCTGCCGCAACATGGAGCTGTTTCTGCCCGCGCACCGCAATGCCGGGGCGCTGCCGAGGGAGAGCGTGTATGAGTCGCTCGGTGCACACGACAACGTCAACGCGCATCCCGTGGTGAGCAGCTCGCTGCCAGCTTATCTCCCGCGCGGCACGTACAACGCCACGTTCCTTGTGGCTGACGACAGCGGCAACACGGCACCCCCGTGCGCAGCATCGTTTACCGTGGGCGACAACACGCCACCGGAGCTCACAGCGCCGACCCAGCACAAGAGGGCAGAGGAGGGCACGTACCTGCGCCTCAAGCGCCTGGATGACCTGACGTTCACGTGCACGGACAACGACCCTGCCAGCCTGGAGTATGGCATTGCCGCCAACAGCTCGGTGCAAATTGGCGACCACCTGCACCTGGGCACGCACCACGTCGAGCTGTTCTGCCGCGACAGTAACACCACGGTGTATGCGCGCAAGAAGCTTGTCGTGGACTACAACCGAGACGCGCTGGTCGCTTCGCTCGTGGTAGTGTTCGTTGTCATGCTGTGCCTGATCGGCTACCTCGTGTTGCTGAAGGCCGGGTACCTCAACGACCGGCTTCTGCCGATGCTGAATGGCGGCATTAAAGTGGTTGTGGGGAGTGCAGAGCTTGGACACGGCCTTCACGGCCGCATCGTGACGGGCGTGTTGACGTACATCAACCTCGACGTGCAGGTCGTGCTGAAGGTGTACCACCAGTGGGCGCTGGAGGGTTCGGACGAGGGCAAAGTCACTTCGCCCTCTCAACAGGATGACACTCCCGAGTCTGGCATTGCACACAGTAGCGACGGTTCAGGTTCACGCAACAACAACAACAACAACAACAACAACAACAACAACAACAACAACAACAACAACAACAACAACAACAACAACAACAACAACATCGACGACGACGGCGATGACGCCGTCGCTGCTACACTGGATGACAACGGTACTGCCGGTGTGGGTGATGTTCTGGCTCACATAGACAGCGGTCACGTCAGCTTGCGCGCAAGCATGCCGACTAGCCCCACCCCACCACCGCCGGCCGCAACACATGTACCAGGCTTTGCAGACAACCGGGTGTTTGTGCAGCGTCAGAGCACCGCCAACACCGCTGCGACCACGGCCACCAGCAACGATGATGGGGCAGAGCAGGCGAGAGCTGTGAGTGGTGTTCAGGGTCCTGTTGGGGCTGTTGAGATGGAGGTGACAGACGGACGCGAAGCGGGACGTCGCCAACACACACGCAGACAGTGGAGGTTCTTGCTGGCGCGGCTGCCGTTTGGCGTTCGCAGCAACGCCGTGAGCTTTGCGCCGGTACAGCAGCCGGCAGCGGAGGAGGGGCAGTTGGAAGAGGGGCGCGCAAACGGGACGCAGCCAGCACAGGCGGCGGCAGCAGCACAACAACAACAACAACAACAACAACAACAGTCGATGGACATGGACGTCTGTGAAGAAAGAGTGGATGTGATGCGCTCACACATGTTCGGCGGCAGGTTTGGTCGCATGCTGCATCGCGACTTCACGCCCGCGGAGCAGTCGGCACTGAATCACTTTCCGACACTGAAGCGGGAGATGAGCATGTACTTGGAGCTGTACAAGAAGAACGGCAACCAATACCATGACGGCATTGCGCGCCTGGTTGCCGTGTCCCTTTCGCCGCCAGCCCTTGTCTTCTACCGCTTGAACGGCAACTGCGTGAGATACCTACACGATCACATCTTGAGCAGCAAGAACGGGAAGGAGCGCGTGCGCATGAAGCTTGCCTTTTTCAAAGGGGTTGCCCGGGCCCTGACGTTTATCCACAAGTGTAACATTGTGCACCGTGATCTGTGCGCTGACAACATTCTTGTGGACGATTCTGGTGCACCCGTCATCACCGACTTTGGCCTGGCACAAGAGCTCGCAGCCGGCGTGACGAAAAAAATGCCCGCCACCTGCCGCCTCCGTGAGTTGCCCTGCACGTGTGGTATTGTGTCTTTTGTGTGTGTGTGTGTGTGTGTGTGTGTGTGTGTGTGTGTGCGTGTGTGTGTGTGTGTGTGTGTGTATGTGTGTGTGTGTGTGTTCGTGCGTGTGTCACAGTGCTGGTGATTACCTGCGAGCATGTTTCCATGGCTGTGGCGTGGCCTGACATGACATTTGCCTCTTGTTCGTCACGGGATCTCGCACTCATTCTCGTTCCCCCATGTGTGTGTGTGCGTGTGTTATTGGTTGCGGCCGCATGGCAGAGACAATGTTGCCACTGGCAGAGGTGGGTTCTGCAAGCAAGGCTGTATCGCGCATGCGCTGTCCCCGGGTGCATACACCACCCGCACGTGCACTTCACACTCACATGCGCACGCACACACACACACCGCACCCTTGAACTGCGTACTCGTTAGATGTGGTGAAGCGAGTTGGTCGCGGGTCTGAGAGCGACACAGCAAATGGAGCCGGGGCACATGGTGCACTACACTTTGACACAGACGCCGACAAGTATGCACGCCGCCCAGCAAACGCCTGGTTCGCCCAGGTCGTCGGGTGAGTGCTGCACGCCGCACTTTTCGTGTGTGTGTGTGTGTGTATGTGTGTGTGTGTGTGTGTGCGCGCGCGCGTGTGTGTGTGTGCGCGCGCATGTGAGTGTGTGTGTGTGTGCATGTGAGTGTGTGCGTGTTGTCAACGGTGCGCACTCAAGACATGTGCTGCCACGTCTCATGTGTTGCGCAACGGCGTTCAGGAACCGGTTTCCAGCGCGGAAGAACGCGAGCGAGCCGAGTTTGCGGCGGGCAGCGATTCTACTCATCATCGGCGTCATCTTCCTCTTCACCGTCATCCACGTGCGTGCGTGCGTGCGTGCCTGCGTGCCTGCGCTCACCCCGACTGCCCGTGTCTCGTCTTGGTTCAGGTTATAAGTGTATGCTGCGTGTCTCACGCTTTCACGTATTCACGTGTTCATAAACACACACGCGCGCGCACACACACACACACACACACATCCACACACAACACACAACACACAACACACAACACAACACATTCCATACGCGCACAACACATGCACAGTTGCTGACGAAGGTGCACGTGTCCTCGGACGACGATCCACTGCTCAACCCAATGATGAATCCCAACATCCAAACAGAAGACAGTCGCTGATCTTCAGCTGTCTCTGTCTCTGTTGCTCTTGCCATGCTGTTATTGATGTTGATGTTACGCACACGTCTCCCCTCTGCCTCCTTTCTTCTCCCTCTGCGCCTGCTCTGCTCTTGCTTCTCGCTCATGTACACACCAAACCAAACCAAGCACAGCAAGCAAGAAGCAAGCATGTCGCGTGACGAGAGTGACATTCTCACGCAACTGTCACCCAAGATGACGGACCCACAACAACCAACAACAACCCAACAAAGCGAGAAGGAACACAGCAGCAAGGCTTGTCCCCCTCTAGCACCACGGCTGGCGCCGCCATGGCTGCTGGAGCTCCCTGATGAGCTACTGGAGCGTGTGCTCTCCTTCCTCCCAGCACAGGACCTCCTGCACGCAGCACAAGGTGTATGTGTGTGTGTGTGTGTGTGTGTGTGTGTGTGTGTGTGTGTGTGTGTGTGTGTGTGTGTGTGTGTGTGTGTGTGTGTGTGTGTGTGTGTGTGTGTGTGTGTGTGCTGTCGTTGTAAGGCATGCAGTCGCTTCTCCGACTCTCGGTCAGTGCCGTCACACCATCCCCGTATCACCCCCATGCTGCAGTGTGTCACAAGTTTGCCCGTTGCGCTGAGCATGAGTGTCTTGCACGATGCCGAAAGCGAGGCCTTCGCGTGGTAAGCAGCAAGAACAGCAAGAAGATGCATCGTTCGTGGGCAAGTGCCGCTGGGCTGGCTGCCTGTCCACCATCGTCATGCTCACCATCGCCATTGGCGTGCCTCTTCCTCTTCCTTGCTGGTGCTACACAGCCGCGACGCCCGCGGGGATACCTGGCAGCTGCGCCGTTCCCAAAGCGCTACTTCTACCACATGCAGCTGTGCGTGGTGAGTCTCGATTGTGTTGCTCAGCATTGTTTACCCTGCGTTGTGATGTGGTGCAGGCTACGAGTAGTGTCTTGCTTCACTCCTCGCCGTCCATGTATCACGCCCGCCCTGCCTCGTCCGTTGGTCATTGGCAACAGAATTGCCACAGGGAGGGCGCGTGGATCCTTCGTCGTGGTCGGCGCGCAGTCCAAGTTGGCGTCGCCTGCAAGCAGTGGTGTGTGTGTGTGTGTGTGTGTGTGTGTGTGTGTGTGTGTGTGTGTGTGTGTGTGTGTGTGTGTGTGTGTGTGACCTATATGTGACTCGTATCTGTTGCAGGTATTCACACATAGCTCAGACATACACACACACGCATAGCTCAGACATACACACGCATCGCTCAGACACACACCCACACACTACTATCTCGGGTACCCTACGCCCTGTTTCGCGTGTGCGTCAGCCGCTCACGCTTCAGCTCCTTCCCACATGACACGCGCAGCCTCCACGATAGGGCGTTTCAAGCGATGCTCGATGCACACCACCTTACCGTTGATGTCTACAGCAAACGCGGTGCGCCCACCCAACGCCGTGTCCTGAATGCTTGTGCTTCATTTGCTGTTGCATCCGCGTCCACGCCGCCAGTGAACTGCACCGCGTTTGAGCAGGTGTCAGCTCTCGTACCCTGCTCACTGCGAAACACCCCCCCCCCCCCTTGCCCGGCTATTCGCACGCTGCAGGTGCCAAGCTGACCAAACTATAGTGGCCTTGTTCCTGCTGCTTTGATAACGGACGTATCTAATCTCGTCTTGTGTTGTGTTGTTGTCACATCACACCACAACGCCCCATCTTGCAACACCACTCCACATCACCTTCCCCCCTCCCGGCGGCCAATCTCCCCCTTCTCCCCTAGCCTCGCTTGCTTCGTCGTGTTCGCATGTGCGTGTGGTGCTGCATGTTTATTGCTCGAGGATGCTGTAGTATTGAACAGAGTGACCTACACAGGGTGGGTGGGCAGCAGCATGTGCGTGTCTTGACACGTGAGTCGGTGAAGAGGAACATCAATGCATGCACGTGCGTGCGTGTGTTTTTGTGTGGATGGGAGGGAGCAACATGCACACGACACACACGCACGCGAACATGCCATGTAGATAGCACCCACACAATGCACAAGCGCAAGCATGTGAGTAGCACTGCCTCGCTCGCACACACAGACACACACGCAGACACACACACATACACACAGGCACACACACACAGACACACACAGACACACACACACACGCAAACACACACACGCACACACACACACACACACACACACACACACACACACACACACACACACGTTCAAACAACGAGTGCCAGGGGAACGCACCGGATGAGCTCCTGTAGAAGACGTAGTGCTGCAGCATGAACAGAATGTCAAAGAGTACAGAGAAGAGGCCAAGACCAAACTGACAAACGCAGCGTTGGTGCGTTGGTGGAGGGGGGGGCAATGGTTTAGAGGGTGAATGAAAAGATTAGAGGACAAGCGGAAGCAACTGCACAGCCTCATTAATTCAGGAGTGCTCACACAACACACGCACACACGCATACACGCATACACACCAACCTTTGTGGGGTCGCCGAAGAAAACAGACCAGTCGTTATTGTTCCAGGATTGCAGGAACATTTGCAAGATGGAGAAGCTCCCGCCAGTGAAGTCCAGCAGCACGTTGCCAATCGACCACCCCTCCGTGCTCTTGCGCCGATAGTTCATGTATGCCTGCAGGCAAGCAAGGGTAACATGTGAGCAGTTGTTGATGTGTGTGTGTGTGTGTGTGTGTGTGTACGTGAGTTGGGCAATGTGCGGAGATCGAGGGTCGGAGCAAGCACGTTCATACACACACACACACATACATGCATACATACATATACACATGCACGCACGCACGCACGCACGCACGCACACACGTTCACACACACACACACACACGTTCACACACACACATACATCATGACGACGGACCTGTGGAATGTACTTGATGAGGGTGACACCAAGCTTGATGTAGGAGAAGAAGTTGAGGAACTGAAGCCAAGAAATGATGCCGCCAGCAGCAAGACCAACGGAGATGATGGCAAACAGCCACGCACCCGTCAGCAGAACAATGCAGATCTTGGACACACGCTGGCCGCCTCGCTGTTCATGTCATCGCACGTGTGGTTGTGCACGTGTGGTTGTGCACGTGTGGTTGTGCACGTGTGGTTGTGCACGTGTGGTTGTGCACATGTCAGTTCACAGCTCACATGCACGTGCGTCAAAGGAAGAGGAGGACGCACAAAAGGAACAAGAACAGGAACAAGCTCATCTTGCATCAAGCATGATACACACGTGCAGATGCAGGGTTGCGTTATGGCCATGAAGAGAGAGCATCGGCTGTGCAAACCTCATAGACGAAGCACTGCGCGATGGTGACGATGGTGAGAACAACGGCGTGGATGGAGAAGAACACATCGTTCGGCTGCACCGGGTTGGTTGACCCTGTTGTTGTTGTTGTTGTTGTTGTTGTTGTTGTTGTTGTTGTTGTTGTTGTTGTTGTTGTTGTTGTTGTTGTTGTTGTTGTTGTTGTTGTTGTTGTTGTTGTTGTTGTTGTTGTTGTTGTTGTTGTGAGCACATGTCAAGTAGAGCACAGGTGTGCGCGGGCGAGCGCTGATGAAGAAAGCAACAGCGAAAGCGCATCGACACGCCTCCAAACACACACACATACACACATACGCATCACACACACAGTGCCGCCAACCTGGATGCTTGTGTTCATATTGGTCCTTGATGCTTTGCACGTAGAAGAGGCCAAGGTTGAAGAACATGTAGCCAAGGAATCTGGTTGTGGACGAGACAGTAAGCGCAAAACGTCAGTATGATGTACGATATCCAGGGCAGCACATACACGTACACACAGACAGACAGACGCACAGACGCACACAAAGACAGACAGACACACACACAGAGACACACGTGCGCGCACACACACAGACACACACACAGACACACACACATACACACACGTGCGCGCACTCTTCCCATCACGCAACGCACATCACACCGGTCTCGTACCCTGTGAGATTCAGGCCGAGAAAGTCAAAGTTGAGACCAACAACTGATTTGCGCCGGTAGTTCTCGATGACCTGTGGGTAGAACGATACGCTCCACGCAACAAAGTACACCCACCCAATCACCTACCATCACACACACACACACACGTGCAAATATACAGATACACACACACACGTGCACAGATACACACATGCATACACGTTCATAGGGTGAGGGTGGTGCATGGTGCATGCAGGCTTTGCCAAGCGTGACGCCGCTGCTTCAGCTCACACTGGATGTCCAACCTTGTTGATGGTGAGGAGTGCTCTGGATGCAACCACCCGGCCCGAGAGCTTCGGCACAGTGATATTGTCAAAGCGTGGGTCCACAGACATGACAGTGACAGCCACGTCGCTCTGGCCTCGATGGTGGCCCGTGATTGCCACCAAAGCGCTCTGCGTCTCGTTGGTCAGCGTCACCTGCCCCAGCATTCACAGTCGCGGCCGATGTGGGTGACACGAAGCACGACGGAGGTGAGTCTTGCGGAAGCTGCGATACAAAACCAAAACAGCAAGCCAGTGATGTGATGCACGCCAAGGGCGTCCATTGCCCTTGGTTGGAGGTTGATTGACGACAGTGGAGCGACCACACTGGCACTCGCTTGTTCTCAACCACTCTGAGCTTCACTGCAGAGTGACAGAGCACGCAAAACCACACAAACAGCGTGAACTTGAACCGTACGAACAACAACAACGGTGCCATACGTTCGTTGGCGACAAGGTAAATATCGACGAGGATTTGACGCCAAACATGATAAGTACCGGCTCCTGTGGCACAACACTGCAGCAGTGAAAGGCAAAGGGAAAGACAACAGCATGTTCACAACAAGTCGGTGGGCCAGTGGAGCAGTCGCATGTGCTTGTCCTCCATCAACCACCGACCAAACACCCGCACCCTTCCCGCTTCGACAAGACAGGACACACCGAACAGCAATCACCCACAGCACAGACACCAGAGCAGACACCATAGCAGACACCATAGCAGACACCACGTCAACCACCACAGCAACGACCACAGCAACGACCACAGGAATCATCACAGGAATCACCACAGGAATCACCACAGCAACAACAGTTTTATCGCACCTTGCAGATACGGAGAAGTGCCTCGTGTGTCCTGTTTGCACGGTATCGAGCGCACCAAAGGCCAGGGGACTCATGGCCACGGCCGTTGAGTAGCCATCATGTTGCCTGTTACTTGAGGGTTCAAGGGCGGTCGCCCCATCCCTATCATCATCAAGCGATGTCGCTCGCGCTCCGCTCGCCACCACCGTCCTGCACACCAGCAGCACCCCAACAACGACAAGAACCCGCAACATCCTCGAGCCCATCATCATCATCGTCCGTCATCCGCCGAAAATCGTTCATATTTTCTACAAATCGTCACAACTTGCCTGCAGCAAACCCAGCAATGAGTCACAACCAGGCAAGCTGTGATGGGGTGCGAGTCAAGGCCCGAAGAGGTTATTGTTGGATTGGAGGGTGATTCATGTGCTTCTTTGTTGGAGGACAGCCAGTGAAGGGCGTCTGTTGAAGACAGGCAGGAGCCAGCGTCTGTATTTGACACTGTTGTGTGGCCATTCAGCTGTCGTGAAACAGGCGTCAGCCACGTCTTATTTGCATCTCCTGTATCGTGCGCGTCTTGACTGTGACAGAACGGCGCGTTGGCCACGATGAACGAAGAGATGGATGACGTGGAGGCCCTGTTCACAGCATCCACCATGTACAAGGAGCTGGATCAGACCCTGCAGGCGCTTGACGCGTTTGCAGGGCACATGGAGCGCACGGGGGAGTCACTGGAGAGCAGGCTCACAGACATGCTGGCATCCTTGCGCAGCGCGAGAACCGGCGCCCAGGAGGAAGAAGCGGAGGAAGACGGCGAAGAGGGACACCCACAGGCAGACAGCATGCAACAGGCAGTGGCGTCAGCCGTGCAAGTCACAGAAGAGACTGCAGATCAGGGTGCACACATCTTTCAGCGAATGGCAGCCGTAATGGCCGAGCAAACCATCCACACATCCGCCACTTCAGCAAACCCTCCGCAGCCACTGACACTGGACGAGCTGCACGAGCGCATGCGGGAAGCAGGCATCAGCACTGAGTCACAAAATGAGCAGGCAGCCAGTGAACAGCCGCAGCAGGAGGAGGCGGCGGGTGAACAAGACCAGGCGCTTCACCAATAAATGCATGTGCTCTTATAGTTACACGGCTTAGCGTACCACTGAGGGTGTTGCATTGTGAATGAAATGTGTGCTGATCATGAAGGGGCGGCATTAAGTGCATGCTTGCTCATGCACACATGTATCTGTGTCCATATGTTGTGGTTTGGGATGTACTCGACAATACAAGCGAGCTATTCGCTCACGTCTGCACACAAAACTCGAAAGCTCGAACACACACAGATGCACCTAGACAGGCAGACAGGCAAAGAGACAGACAGAGACAGAGACAGACAGACAGACAGACAGACAGACAGACAGAGACAGACAGAGGGACAGACAGACAGACACACACACACAATGGCGATGTTGATGGCAGTCGACAAGACGGTCAAGGCAGGAGAGCGTGGGATCATGCGTGAATCGCCTTGTGGTCATCGATGATGGCTGTCACCGCCTCTGGATTTGATAACGTCGTCACGTCGCCAAGGTCATCGTACTGCGGCAATGAATATGTGGAAGGCGGCAACAGTAAGATAGGAAGGATAACGTTGAGTCAAGGAAGCAGAAGTCACATACCCTCGACGTACACCAAGCACACGCGTCATGTGGACACGAACCAAGGACCCTGCACCATAACGACACACACCACACACAACACGCACACACACGCACACACACACACACACACACACACACACACACACACACACATACACACATACACACACCAACGATGGCACCTGGTTTGCGGCGATTTTGCGGAGGATGCGACGCATGATCTTGCCGGAGCGGGTCTTTGGCAGGTCTGGCGTGATCTGGATGACGTCTGGGACGGCCAGCCCGCCAATGCTGCGTCGCACCGCCGCCTTCAGCTCGTCCGCTGTCTCCGCCGTCACGCGCTCCCCGGCCTTCAGAATCACATACGCATACACGCCTACATCATGTGTGTGTGTTTGTGTGGGAGTGAGTGAGGGAGGGAGAGAGAGAGAGAGTGTGTGTGTGTGTGTGTGTGAACACGAATACACAACCACAGTCTGCAGGCAACCTGCAACGTGCCACAATCCCCCTCTCTCCCTCTCTCTCTTCACGCTCTCAGCACCAAGCGCGTGCACACAAGACCTTGGCCCTTGACGTCGTGAGGATATCCGACAACAGCGGCCTCCGCAACGCCGCCGTGCTCAAGCAGCGCGCTCTCAATCTGATGATGATGATGATGATGATGGTGGTGGTGGTGGTGGTGGTGGTGGTGGTGGTGGTGGTGGTGGTGAGAATAAGGACGAAGGAGTAACAGGAAAGGGCACAGCAACTGCACGAGCACACACACACGAACACCACCACCACCACCACCACCACTGCCACTGCCACTGCCACTGCCACTGCCACCACCATCAAGATCATCGCAGCACCTCGGCAGTGCCCATGCGGTGGCCGGAGACGTTGATGACATCGTCGACGCGTCCCGTGATCCACAGGTGCCCGTCCTCGTCCCGCCGCGCGCCGTCACCCGTGAAGTAGTACCCCGGATACACACCCCAGTACGTGCTCGTGTACCGCTCGTGGTCCCCGTGGATCGTGCGCGCCATCGACGGGTTGCGCTAACGGTGTGTGTGTGTGTGTGTGTGTGTGTGTGTGTGTGTGTGTGTGTGTGTGTGTGTGTGTGTGTGTGTATGTGCAGCAGTCGGGTGTCGTTGGGGGTGGTGATGATCCACACACAGCAAATATTGTTGCGTCCGACGGTGAGGAGGGGTAGAGAGCAATCAACTGCTTGTCGGTTGAGGTGGCTGCTTGCCTATGTTTTCCGCGCCACTTCGTGGCCATCGATGTGGAGCAAGCCAAAGTTAAAAAGTGGTTAGATTGGGCCCTCCGCCGACCACCAAGCCCACAACACAATAATC